GGTTTATTCCCAGATCTCTTTCCCATCAGGCAGAAGGACAGTTCACAGGTTAGACAACCCATGGGCAGACTGCGTAGGCGTTCGTGAGTCTGTCTGCCACAGAGGAGTCACCGCTTCACCTCTTGCCTTTTACAAATGTGGCTTATAAAGGCCAGGAGCCTGTGCCTTCTGACATTAACTTTCCATTCTCAAGCTGCTGAGCCAGCAGCACACCGGGTTCAGTGACTCGCCCCCTGTCCTCTGACATCCTACAGACGCCTCATCCCATCCAGGAAGCTCCAGGCCACACCCGAGAACTTCCAGGAACTTCTCCTGCCTCCTCAACCCCATCCCTACCCATCTGCCCACCTTTTAAGCACCCCTCAGCACTGCTTAATCTTTGTTCCTGGCTGGGTGGTTCTGCCTTCTTTGTCACAGGCTCCCCCTTGGGGCCGGTGAGGGCTTCAGTGGATCCACAGTGGGAGAGGTGAAAGGGTTCTGCTCTGGTACTGGGATTAATCGGGCCCTCACACTAACCAGGAAATAAGGGCGAAGGGGTGATGGGGAGCTGTTCTACAGAGCTTTCAGCTTACAGCAAGCTTTTCCAAGCCTGGGACCATGGTCTGGCCCTTTCCTTACTCTAATTGTGGAAGTCTGCTGGGGCTTATCAGTGGGTGTCTAAATCCTATGTGACCAGCTTGGTATTTGACAAAGTATCAGACGGCAGGTGGCTAGCATTGGCCGTCGCCCCTCTGTGATCCCTTGCCCGGAATCTGGAACACCCACATCCAGAAACCTTTCTGTAGTAACGGCTGGTCTCCGAACAGAAGTGTTCCGCGCCCCCCCCCCCAAATAAATATGTTTCCTAATTAAAACTTGCCCTTTAAAGACTCACATTTTCTCTGTTTTCTTTTCCTTGTAACATATTACAGAATCAATAAGGGCAATGCAAATATCTTTAATACACACAGTTCCAACGGCTCTAATACTGCATCTGCCTCCACAAAAGAACCCCCTCCCCTCTCCAGGCCAGCAGATAAGCTCCCCTGGTTTGTTAAATGCCTTGGTATTTCACCCTGGCTTGGAAGGCACTTAGCTTTTCAGGGGAGTGGGGAGAGGCACCTTGAAAAGGGATAGAGTGGATAGGGAGGGTGCCCAGCCTTGTCTGTGTTTTCAATGACAGTCTTTAATTTTTATTATGAAAATAAGGAACATTCGTTATGCAAGTTAGAGAACATATAAAAACACACAAAAAAGGAAATACCTGTAAGTCATAATCCCACCAACCTGAGGCAATCATACCTAATAGCTGACAGATTTTTGTTTTTCTTTCCTTTTGCTACCCAGATAGTCTTGCTAGAAAATTTCAAAGTATAATTATCAATTCTGAATTCTGTTATAATTTTTTTACATAATAACAGTGATATTTTAATGGTGTGAAAAACTAGACAAAATATACTTTAAGAGTAATTGTATAATATTATCACAAAGCTTAATTCCCTTTTTACTTTTCATCCTTGACCTTTCAGGTTGTTTTGGTCTCTGTTTCCAGCATTATAATTGATGGAGGTCTTTCGTAAGCAGTGTCTCAGCCTTTGGTGCTATCCCTGGGATAGCATGTGTTTTCTGTGGCCCAACACAGCCGCATGGGAACATGTGCAGCCAACCACAGAGTTGGATTATCACATGATGATAGCAGCCTTCATTTCCCCTCTAGAACCTCTGCTTCCTTACGAACTTGCTCCACACTGCAACGAGAGTCGTTCCCTCCTCCTCCAGGATAACAAAACTCGAAAACTGGTTGTGTCTTTGGACTTTTAGACCCACAGCATCTAGTCAGTCACCCAAACGTGCTCACATCTCCAAGCTTTCCGATCTCTCCTGTCTTCTTCATTACAGCTGCCTTAGTTTACCTAAATGACTCGCTTGGTCCTATCTTTTGTCTCCCCGAGCTATCCGCCTTCCTTATTTTTCCCTCCTACTGCCGAATCATCTTGTGTCAGATAAACTCAAGAGCACATCCCTCCCAAGCGAAGAACCTTCAGTAGCTTTCTCCCATCCCCAGCAAGTAAGCTTTGGCTCTTGGGCTTCCATCATACCCCTCCATCACCGAAGCATGCTTACTGCTCTACACTTGGTCCAGTCATGGCCACCACATCCACGTATGGTTCAAGTTCCTCGTGCATCTGTGCATGTCCTGGCTAAGAGAGCAGCCCCTCTCCCTTCCCACTCTAGCCTGTCTTGAGAAGCTAACCTTGCAGGAAGCCTTTCCTGCCCCCTGAACCAGGATGGACACCCTGGGCTCACACTGCCCCTTTCAGGCAGACACACCTCCGTAAGTGTCTCTTTTTAAAGATAAGGACTGGCTTTGCTACTTCTTTGTTCTTGACCCGCTAAATATTTCAGCTGCCTATTCATTTACATGGGGGATAGTCTCCTATATATCCACCAAAACCAGAAATTAACATGGGCATATTATTACATAAATTTTATTTACCTTTTGCCAGTTCCCCCACTAATGCGTTATCCAGAATCACATGTCATGGTTGGTGTTGCGGGAGGTCCTCCCACTCCTCCAGCCTATAGCTGCTGAGAGACCACGCCCCAATGGTCCAGCTATAGGCTGGAGGAGTGGGAGGACCTCCCGCAACAGGTTACTGTCATATCAACTGAGCTGTTTCTTTATCTGAGGCTACTCTGGAGTCCTGTTCGTGACTTTGCTGTTTTTGAATAACATGGAGCCCTCAGTTTGGAGCTATTTTATAAGCCTCAGTGATTAATTCTGGTTCTTTACTTCCTGTAGACATATCACAGAAATGGCATTATGTCCTTTATCATACACCATGCCAGGGACCCATGATGCCTGACACTGTCCCTATAATGTTAACTTTGGTGTTTTGATGAGGACGGATCCTGACAGAGTTTTCTGGTCTAAAGTTATTATTGTGGCTTTGAAAGGATCTGAATCTTGGGAGATACTCTGAGACTAGGTGATTATCTTGTTTCTCATCGAGTACCCACTGCTTTCAACCTCAGGGTCTGTCTTCCCATCGCTTGAAGAAGTTACGTAGCCTGAAGGTAATTTCCAGTGTTCTCGCTTTCAAACATCCCTTATGATCCCCATCATGAGCCTCGTGTTTTCATAAGGTCTCTACGTGCCACTGAAGAAATGGCACTTGCTCAGAGCATGTGTCCTTCTATTTCTCATTAAGCATTTATGAGACATGTCTAGGACACTGACGTCCAGAAAGCAGGGATGGCTGGCTTCATCCCTGAGCGGCCAGGGCCTGTTCCATACCTGGCACAGATCAGATGGTCAACGGTGCTCGCTGAAGGACATAACGTGAGTGCCCCTCATGATGGCAGTCAGCATTTGATGCCTACAGTGAGGGCACACAGGTGACAAATGACTTCCAAGACTTGACATTTCAGTTAGTCTCCGGCCTTTGTCATTGGTCAGTGTTCGCCCATCACGAGGATTTTAAGATTAGCCCGACTATAAAGCAATCTGCCCATCTCCATGTTTGCCTTCCTGTGCACTAAAGTGGGGATACCCAGCACCCCCCATTTTTTAAACCAGGATGGCTTTGTAATCAGCACAGGGTCTCTGGAACACATAGTAGCAGGTTTGTGTGCTTGTTTTTAAAGGCCCGAGCTTCCTTCCACATCAGCATGAAATCAGCACTGTCTCACCTAGCCTTCCCAAAGCTCCTTAGAGAGAGGTAGCAGAAGGTGGGAGAAGTGAAGGAAATCAATGCCGAGAACTTCCTAAGTACTCCAGGGCCTCCAGTCCATTGTTCTTCCTAGTGAGATGGCTATAACCTATTTTACAGGTGGGAATACTGAGACTGGCCAGGGAAATACTCTGAAATCAAGTCCTACAATAGCCAGCCTGAAGCAGACTGCGGGAGGGAAAACCTTTAGAAAGCCCCTGTGAGTTCAAGCTGTCTCTTCATCACAAACAAATGTCCTTGCCTTGGTAAAGCGCTGGCAATTATGATCCAGATTCATAAGGGAAGGAAATTTTCTTGGGCTATATTCACTGCTGGCCCCCCGCCCCCCCAATCCCCATGATTGCTACCACAGGACTCAGAGCTGTTACCATGGTTCTGGAGAAGTTGTCCGAGGAAGGCCTGTCTTTAAGACATCTTGCATGCCCAAGGATGGAACCGTTAATTACCTTGGCCAAGCAGCAGCTGCGACTAGCAAAAACAACCCGGGAAAAGAGTCGGAGGTGTGGAAAAGCATTTCAGAGGGTTAGGCAAGGAAGAGGGCCAAGACCAACAGAGAGGTGTGACTCCGGAGAGAGAGGAGTCAAGCAACACAACATACTAATAAACAACTCCTGGGGGAGAAATGAGAACAAAAAACAAGAGGGAAGGAAGTACAGAAAAGTAGCGACAGGGAAGGAGAAAGTTTCCGAAAGGCTGTGAGGAAGCCGGAAGAAAGGGTGAAAAAGGAATCCGAGAAAAATACTGAGCATGGAGAATTCCAGAGAGAAAATGAGATGAGAAGATGGAGAAAGCAGCCCAGAGAAGGGGAGGAAGGAGATAAGGGAAGACGTGCACACAACAGAGACCTGTGAGAGGAGAGGAGGGCAAGCGGCCACGGGAGGAGGGGCTCATCACCTGTGTGGCGCCCCCGGCGCCATGGTGCAGCCCTGCTCCAAGCGTGGCTCGCCGGGGCTTTTAGGATTGGCTCCCGCCTCCCATTCATGTAACCTGCGTGCTTGTGTGTGTGTGTCCGTGCGCGCGCGCGTGTGTGAGTGTGTCTCGCTTGCTAGCTCGCCCTGTGTGTAGGAGAGCGAGGGTGGGGGACGGAGGCAAGCAGGCGAGCAGGCAGGGAGGGGAAGAAGAGGAGGGAAGCTATTAAACACACACACTCACATACACCCGCGCGCTCACCCCCGCCCCAACCCCCAGAATCCTCGGGATTGCAGCTGTTTCATGTGGGGCAGCAGTGCTGGCAGAGACGCCGGCCGGGAGCGGCAGGGAGCCGGAGCCCGGCCTGTGCGCGCGGCTGGAGGCTCGCTGGGGCTCCACTCCCCGCGGGAGCTATTGTTGGTCTCGTCGGAGCTGAGCGCAGAACCCGGACCTGCACCTTCTTGGGCACCTCTATCCGGCTCGTGAAGCGGTGGAACCAGCAGCGCAGTGCCTTGCCTCCCCGCCATCCTCGTCCCCGCTTCCCCGGCGGTGGCAGCCTGCAGTCACGGTAAGGCGGCGTGATCAGCTCTACCAAAAAAGCACCTTGGGGATCGCCGCGGCGGCTCGCCAGCTCAGTCGCCCCTCTCTGCACTCGCTGGTCCGGGCAGCTCATGCAGTTCGCTTAGGGCTCCGGATGATGCTAACCTGCACCCTTGCTCCACACCGGGGAGGGAGGGAGGAAGAGGAGGCGAGCCGGGCGTCTAGGTTTGCCGGCAAGGCAGGGAGCTTGGAGCCCAGAGCCTCAGCCACCGCAGCGCCGGGAGTCCACCGCGAACTAGAGTCTGGGAGCGAGTAGTGGGGGAGAGTGGAGAGGTGGAAGCCAGCCCTAGACTCTGGACCGCGGAGGGGATCGGTCCAGGTTCGTCAGCTGCACCCGGCTCCCTTTCCCTGCCACGGCCCAGCCACCCGCAGCCCCTCTGCAGACTCGCCCGCCCCAGATTCCCGGCGGGCGCTGGAGGAGCCCACGAGGCGGCGCCGGGTTCCCGTGCTGCAGCCTGCCCTGCGGGGCGAGATCCAGCTGCAGCGGCCCCCGTGCGCGCTGCGGTTGGAGCCGGGAACCCGGGGACGCGACCCCCAAGCCGCACGCCCTCTGCAGCCCCACTGGCTCCTGCCTATCCTTGTTGTCCGCGTTGTTTCTCCTTTGGTTTGTCTCGGAGCGAGTTGAGGTTGCAGGCGCCAGGGTGGACTCTCTGGGGGTTCACGGGTGTGAGTGTGACTACTTGCAACCCCCCGCCCCCCAGCTTCGGGAAATGTGCTGTGTATTGAAATGTGATCTCTGAGCTTCTTAGTCATTTTCCTAGTGATTTAAAAACGCAGTCTTTACATTGGAGGAGCAGGCAGAAGGTGATGGCGCGGAATGTGTGTGTGTGTGTGTGTGTGTGTGTGTGTCCACATGTAACCCAAGAATAAGCCGCTAACTACTTTGGAGGAAGGGAGGAGGGATGGCTTGAATGGTCAGTGCTTCTTGGGTTCAAAGGTGGGTTTCTCTGGTCACTACCCTCCTCTTCTCTGCCCTGTCCCCGCCTAGGCCAGGTTGAAGAGTACTGGAAATTCAATTGCGTGGTCTCTAACTTTGGAAAATTGGCACCCCTTTCAGTGGGATACGTTAAGACCGTTTCTGAACTCGGGTTCTGTGTGGATGAGAGTTTTGGTCAGGTTAGACCTAGAACCCCTCCTCAGACCTCCACCAGTTCCCTACCCGGTCGCCATCCGCTCCCCCCCCCCCCCCCCCCCCCGCAACCCTGGAGAGAAGGTTTGTACACATGCAGTTAAGACAGTGAGCCACCAACGCACCAACGTAGGCAACTACCGGGACGAGCAAGCCGGGGTTTGCGGGAATCTGAACGCACTACTGGCGTTTGATTAGCCCTGGAGATCGCCCTGCTGCTTTGTGGAAGGCGCCGGTGGGGCACGCTCGCGATCCTCAGCGCCGGGGCCAGAGGGTGCCCATGTGCTGAGCCGTGAGGCCGTGCACGGAGATCTGCCTAACAGTATCGCGGGCGATTATATAAGCTGCCTCGGTGGTTACCCAGAACTGTATTGCGAGCACCCGGCTCTTGCTGAAAGTTTTCCTGCTTGGGGATTGTAAGTACCTGGGAGGGAGATACACTTAATGGCGAGCTGGACATCTTGTTCAGCGGCGCCCACTTCTGAAATGGGCTTTTGGGTGCTAAAGCGCTGCCCTCAAGGAACCGGTTACTGAGGCCGGGACAGAGTGGGTGGAGATCCAAGATTAATCTGTGAAGAGGAGCGGGTCAGAACTCGGGTTTCTTTGAGTCCTTGGAGCCTTCTGACTCGGGGAGGGGGGAGTTGGAAGGCCTTCCAGGGAACGTAGTTTTAGGAAAATCTGTGTTCTAGGAGACCGAAAGACTCTCTTCTTGGTCCCTCCCGGCGCCCCTCCCTGTCTTTAAATACAGCGTCCTTCACTTGCTTTGAAACCTGCGCTCCCACCCAAGTCCCTTTCAGAAATACCCAGGTGCCCCGGCACCCAGGCCCAGGTTGGGGTGGAGGTAGTGGGTTAAGAAGTAGAGTATTTGCCTCCGGGGCGGAGAGGAGCAACGGTTTAAGTACCTAATGCGGACGCGAGGGGAATGGGTACGTGGTATGGCTTCTGCCCCCTCGCCTCCCTCCTAGACCGAAAACAGTTTGTTTCGACTGCGCTCACCTCCCCCCCCCCCCCCCCGCCTCCACTCCCCATCCCGTTCCTCCATTCGCTGCGGCAGCCTGTCGCACGCTGATGGGCTTTGATAGAGAACCACAGTAGTGGCGTGTTTTTAAAGCTTGTGTTTTCGCCTGTAGAGGGAAAAGCTATCCCAGCCCTGGCAGAACCCTGCGGAACGCTGAATTCTGGGACTTGGTGGCCCTGAACTCCCTCCCCCAAGTCAGAAGATAGCACGCACGGGTGGGGAGGGTTTTGTTTTCGCCACATTCCTGCGTCCTGAAACTCTGCATCCCCCCCCTCCCCCCTGAAATCCCGGGTCTGTCTGAGTGTGTTCGGCGCTGTGAAATAAATCCTCCCTCGCGCAGACCTGTGGGGCTGTTCGGATTTCCTGCCTCTGCCACGATCCTTAACAATGCGATTGCAAAGCCGACGCCGGGCTGGGAAAAATCCCCAGGTGCCGGCCGGCCGCGTCCTGACCTTGCTGAAGGCGCCTTCGCCCAGGCTGCTTCAGCGGCTCTCGCACAGTCGCTGGGGCTGGGGAAGGAGGACCGCGGCCCAGAGGCGGCTGGGGTCGTTCCCAGGGCACGGCCGGAGTCGGTTCGCGGCCTGGTGGCTTGGGGGTGGGGATGGGTTCAGCGACAACCTGTTTCCAGGTCTGGGGACCAACACTTAGCTCCCCAGCCCTGCTGTTGGCCCCACGTGATTCGCCTCTTCATCCGCCTCTAGAAGTCTCCGGGAAGGGTTTTCCAGGGTTGGCTGCGGCCCCCTTCAGCTTTCTGCCAACCTGGGCTGGACGCCCTGGGCTTTAAGGCTTTTTGATGGCCTGATCAGTGGTCAGCGGCGTTGGCCGGTCTGCAGAGTGGGCGGGGCCTAGGCACTGAAACCCGAGCTGTGGCAGCCAAGTTCCCACCAGAAGCAAGACCCAGCCTGGGTCCCCAGCAAGCCTCCCTTCCTTCCAATGCCTGATCACTTTCTTTAAGACCCTGGGTGCGCTTCTTGCATCCTGAAGCTATACTTTGCCGGCTTCTATGTTAAAGTTACAAGGACTGTTTTCACAGGTGGTGGTAGCGAGAACAAGTTTTCTGCGTGTGTGTGTGTGTGTGTGTGTGTGTGTGTGTGTGTGTGTTGGAGAGGAGTGCAGAGGTTGGTGACTAGGCCAGACCATAGCTTGAAAGTGGAATTTCCCTGTTTCTGGGTATTGTGAAAGAATCGTTTTCTTTGGTGAGGGTGACCAGGATGCCCTTTCTCTGAGTGGGATTGGGCCAGCCTGTGCTGGCCTGTCAGCAGTAGGCCCCCTTGGATGTTAAGAATGCATGACTGTCTCCGTAGATGCTCCTATGGTTTAGCGGCTTTCCCTCCTGGTACTGCTACTGAAGGGGCTGGGGACAGGAAGCAGGCTAGCCTGTGAAATTACCATGTACTTGGATGGAGAAGGTGTCAGGGACAGAGAGATTCCTTTCTCTAGAGATTTCTCCCGCTCTTGGTTTGCCAGTCCGGCTTTTAATCAAGTCATCTCTGGGTGGAAGCAGGCTTTGGGCATTAAGCCATGAAACCACCCTGTGGAGGAAAGAGTCAGTCCTTGCCCCGGGGTGGGGTGGGGGTAGGGGTGGGGGTCACAACCAGTGCTCAGTTTACAGAGGAACCCTGAGAGTAGAGCAAATGGAATGCTAAGCAGAGAGCAGATGTTCCAGCAGAAGGGTGGGGTTCGGGTTAGAGGACTCTCTTCCAACAGAATTGAATTCTTTCTGGTATAATCCCTTCAGCCTTTTGTTATTTTGTGGGAGCATGTTGCTGGGGATTCCACCGTTTAGGGATTGTGGCCTCATGGCCTGAGGCAGGTTATTTTGGGAGGTTTGCTTCTCTCCCCTGCATATTGTGATAATGCCACCTACTTTAGGGTGCTGTAAGTCAGCACTGGCGCCCCCTAAACCTCCAGCAAACATTCGTTGGGTGAGGTTACTCAGGGGAATCAACAGTACCCCAAGAGCCAGCAAACATCGCATCCAAAGTCTATTTAAAACCAGCTTCAAGGGCTTGAAACAAAAATATCTTCTCTTTTCTTAGAAAAGTCATTTCCAGTTTTGTTAGAATTTGTGCTTCGTTGGGTCCATTTTTTTTTCCTGACAGAATTCCATCCTTGTGCAGACTGGCATATTATATAACCTGATATTTTCGGATCAGAAGTTACAACTCCAGGAAAAGAGGTGATGAGGAACTTAAGCGGAGACTGTTGGACAACACCAATGAGGGATTCGATGTAAGGCGCCCATTTACACCCTTTAACTGTGGCAGGGGTTGAAGAAATATGAGATTGGATAAGCACAGCCGTGCAGATGCTCACCTTGGCTGCCTCTCCTATACTGATAGACAGCTGCTCTGCCCAGGCCCAAGCTTAAAGAGTCTCCAGTCCCAGGACGTTCTCCCACACCCATAAATCTAAACAGTGAGACCGAGGAACAATGGGATTTAAATCACCCCCTTGCAGATTTGATTCTGAAAGCCTGGGAGAGTAAATCAAAGTCAGCTGTAGATCCAAGGGGCCAATTCTTACCTGGCTTCTTACATGGTCTGTCACACAAGTTCAGTGTGACTGAGAGCCGGATCATTCTGTCTTTCCTCGGCTCAGGCAGACAGCTGTAGGGGCCACTTTGAAAGCAACATGCCCCAGATCCCAGGCAGCTAAGTAACATGGCTTCCCAAACCTTCTAACTTTCCACAGGAAAGCAGTGAAACGTGCAAATATAAATGTGTATACATGTATACGCATATGTGCATACACATGCATGCATACATATATGGTGTGCACCGTGTAGGCTATGTATTTATTACTTTTATCGTTACTCTTT